AAAAAAAAAATCAATAATAAAAGTTCATAAAGTCAATACTAGAAATTTACAAAAGTAGCTTACAAGATTTAATGCAGGTAGCTTGGCAACCTGTGTTCAGACTTTAGCTAAGGACATTTGCACCAAGTTACACTAAGTCACATTTCTACAAATCCACAATTCACATTTAAAAGCTAAAATAAGTGTTTTCTTCTCCCACACCCCAACCACATGTGGTTTAGTGTTCATCTAAAGATGACTGCTAATGGAACATATTTGATACCATGAGAGCTGGAATAATCAACCTTCACCTTTAGGATAAAGATACCACAGCAGCTCCAAATCCCTTATTTTTAAGGCCAGAAGGAAACATTATGATAATGTACCTTGGGGGATCATCTTATATTCAGGGTCTCATCTTATGTTCAAGCAAATATGGTAATTCTGAAACTTCCAAATGAAACAAGGCTTTTGAAATGACCTTTCTTGCAAGAGTCTATTATAGATGGGTGTAATGGGGTGCACCTCTAGGAAAAGCTACAGCACCCCCTGGTGGTCACATTATACCCATCTTCCTATTCCAGCTCCCTAATTTGGCCTCACCGTCTCACTCGCCATGCCTTGATGTTTAACTTAATGTATATTTTAGGAAGCTATCTCCAGAGAACCCAAGTTTAGCCTTTGATGCCTTGCTCTACCAAAGTCATCACCAAGTTGCCAGTCTACCCAGTCCTCATACCCTAGCTTGAGCAGGGCTTCTTCTTTCCCTCTGCCTTCTCACATTGGGCCCCTTTTGGGCTTCAGTCTCTCTCCCCAAGCATTAGGCCTTCACAGTCCACCAGGTCTTTGCAGATCTCTACCTGGACTTTAGCCCTTCATAATGTGAAGTGCCTCCCAAGCACCCCACCTGCCCAGCCTCTAACTTTCCTGGCCTTGTATAGGCTTTGACCCCTTCCAGGCTTCACCTCTCTCCCCCCAGCTTTAGCCCCTCGCAGCTCACCAGGTCCTAGGCCCTCTTAGGGCTCTATCTCAGCTTTAGCCCCACATGACACAGAGTGCTTCCCAGGTACCCCACCCATGGCCTCTTCCCTTTAAGCCACCCCAAAACTCACAGCCTAACACACACTCAAACAGAAACAAAAACAAAATATATAACTTAGCTCTAGTATGCTACTCCTGCAGAGCTCCCTCTGTTGTGAGGTTCTGGGCCAGTCTGATCTCTTACCCCTCTGCCTGGGCTTTTGTGGCCCTTGACTTCTTCAGCCACCTGATCTGGCTCTATAGAAAATTAGGTGCTGCCAACTATCCAAATCAGCAATAAGGTCTCTCAATCTCTCAAATTCCCCAGCCTGCTTACTGTAACATTGCTCTTTCTTCCTTCCAATAGCAGGGGTAAGGGTCCCCTGCTAGAATGGGTAAAAGTAGATCTGGATGAAGCAGTCATGTACAATGACATCTAGTACCAATTTACTGATGATAATCATAGCCCCAAACCCAGAGGAAGGGGCAAACTAACTTCTGAAGTTACCAAAAGTTCTAGATTGGTTCATGGCACTTCTATCAAATGTTCTGAAAGGGTTCCAGGTTTGTAGCCAAAAGTCTCCTCCTGAAATATCAGGACTTCTTTTGTTGAAAGCACACCTGCCATCAAGCCTGGAATCAGGAAAGAGCTCTTGCTTTATAGGGGCAAATAGCTGCATGACTTAAAACAAAAGTAGGATGTGGATTGTTAGATAAAGCACTCTACTCCCTTAAGTATCTCAATGAATTTCTGAGGACTTCTCTGCCTTTGAAGTGCAGGTCTGCTCTGTGTGTCAACTAAGTGTAAGTATCTGAAAACAAGGAGACCCATGTCAGTGCCAGCAAGGGTCACTGATGTAGAACCTGGTGTCTGATATATAAGGTAGTTCTTGTGATCATTTGGGCCCTCTTAATGATCTCTAAGTGCCTTCCCATACTCCTGTGGGACCACACTCCAACATACAAAAAAGCTGTTTTGAAAGTGGGGATACAGAGCTGTATTTAAGTGGAAGAACAGGCCTTGGTCCCCAACCTATCCAGTTTCTTAGAGGCTCTCTTTTTAAGGTGCCCTTAATGGACCTGGAATTTTACTGATAACAAATGACTTGATTCAAATGGCCCTGAAACAATTGATGCCCTTCCGAAACAATTAGTACCTCCTTTCAATCCTCTTAATGAGGGAGAAATAACAGATGGGGTTTGTCAAGAGTCTCTTTACTGGCTCAAGTATGTCCCCACGGATAGGAAGCACAATCCTGGCTATGACTGAAGAAGTTATGCTGTCAAAGAGCTTATGGGAATTGTTTCAAAGTCTTTAGGGTCTTTGCAGAATGCCAGAAGGAAAATACACAGCTTTGATGGACAATACTATTCAAAGGCATAAAACTTGCAATATTGGATTGTATGCAACGCAAGAATGGACTATACACTGACAAATTTAAAGGAGGAGGAAGAGAAACAGGGGGCAGGAACAGCACTGATGAATGCAGCAATATGGTAATGAATAAAATAAAAGGTTAGAAGTTTGGTCACTACAGAGTCCTCCCTCATTCTCAATGCAAACATTCCACTGACTCTAGGGAAACACCTACCAAATTATTATGGTAAATATGTAGTTCTGAATTTATACTGCAGCCCAGACCATAAACATGGAATTCAGCTATTTTCTCTTAATGGGTCTGGCAGTGTCAGACTAGGTGAACTCCTTTCAGAGCCCACAAATGCTATGAATTTCAAAAGAATTGTTATTTGCTAAAGAAATAATTACTGCCTTATCAGGGCCAAGGACTCCATCTACAACAAGTATTCCAAAATAAAATAAGTTCTTCTCTAAAAATCATTAAAAAAAAAATCTAATGTCCTAATATTTACCTTAAAAGATTGCTCTAAAGGAAGTTTGCTCAGTTTATAAGTAGAAAGAGATTGTGCAACAACATGCCCCCCCAACACACACACACTGTTAGGCTGTTATTTAAAAGTCAAGTTCTTTTTGGTTTGCATATAGTCAGTAATTAAATTCCAACTGCAAATATTTTAAGTGACTTGCTGAAAGAGAATCTAGTTCTGACATTATAAAAATTAACAGTACTGTGGTGTCAGGAAAAAAAGTTGACTAAATACACAAAAGAAGTATTCTTTGAGTAAAAAACTGCAATATTTATATTCACTTTTTAATCATATCTGCATATTAATACAGGTTTCTGGGCAATGTCAATATTTTTAGGAAAGCAAAGATGTAGTTTTCTGCAGGATGAGGTAACAGATTATTGGTCTCGTGACTTTTTAGGTGAACATGGTCTAAAGGGCAAGTTTAAGTAGTATGTTTTACTTTTTTCATTCATTAGCAAGAGAACTTTAAAAATGATTAAATATTAGAACTGTACAAGTGCCATTCTCAAGTTATCTTAAGTGGGACCAATTAGACTATGATCAGGTTAAACAGTAACAATTAAATGGACAAAGAGTACAACTGCTTTGCAAGCACATTTCAAGGGTTAGAGATTAACGTCACTGCATGCATGTAAACTGAGCCAAGTCTGTAACTAAAGTGAAACATACAGCTATTAGAAAAGCAGATGTCATGACCTTTTTAAGTTAATAGCTGATTTCACAGACATTAGGGCTGGAAGAGACCTTGTAAGATTTTGGGGTCCATCCCCCTGCTCAAGGGGCAGAAAGTCAGCTAGGGTCAAAGGAGCCCAGGAAAATAGGCATCCAAATGTTTCTTGAAAGTATCCAGAGTAGGTGCTTGCAGGACCTCTGGGGGAAGTCTATTCCAGGCCTTGGTGGCTCAGACAATGAAGAATTTTTTCCTTATGTCCAGCCTAAAACGGTCTTGCAGGAGTTCATGACCATTGGTCCTTGTCTTCCCTTGGGGTGCTCTAGTGAACAAGTGCTCCCCCAGATCCTGATGCACACCCCTTATGTACTTACAGGCTGCCACCAAGTGACCCCTGAGCCTACGCTTCTCCAGGCTAAAGAGTCTTACGCTAAAGTAGGCCCATGATAGTAGTCTAATACTTGATAGTATACCTCTACTTTTTACATTTGAAATTTCATTTTTGTACAGTATCTCTTAAGAAAATTATTGGTGAGCATACTTTTCTGAAGCAGCATCAGAAATAAGACAATTCTGAAAAGAACATTCAATAGCTCAGTTCTGAGTTACTGAAAGCTTGTGTTAAAGTATATAGCAGACCTCCTACACCATCATCTTTTAAAAATAAACTAGAATTCTACTACCACCACCAACTAATATATTGCAAGACTAAATAACACAAAATACAGGAAAACTACAGCTTCAGATAACAAGTAGATAAAAATTTAACTCCCTTAAGTTCTCTCTTTCATATGTGATAATATCTTTCTATAAATTACTTCATTTACTTAAAAGTACACATCAGAGAAATTAACGCTTGAAAATATTTCCCTGGGAATTTCTAGGCCCCATATACAAATATTATGCAAAGTTTAAATTCTCCAGTTCTTCTTACAATAGTTCTAACATACTTGCAGCTGAATGTTTCAGGAATAAAGGACAGTACTTGATTTAAATTTTTCTCTTAAGATATCCTTAAAAATCCAGAAAAAAATACTTAAAATGCTCAGAGCAAGTAATTCATTTGCAGCTACTTGCAAAAATGTTCTAGAAAAACACATAATTTTAAGTGGCTAATATTAGATACAAAGAACCTTTTCCAATTAAGTCATTGTCAGGACAGTAGGCATAAAATGAAGCCTTCCAACTGCATTAGTACTACACATGTGCAAAATGCATTTTCCTTCTGACAGTCTCAATAATTCTGACAGTCAGAAAACACACTGAAATTTAGATGAAAACACTGCCATTTACTTCAGAGGTCAATGACCTTGTGCATGTCAATATGTGGGCCAAAGACATCCAAACACTTGCATTTTAACCTTCATCCTTTAAGCACCAAACATACCTTCACAGACCTCTTAAACCTTTCTGAGGAAAATCCCATTAACTCACAATTTTTCACATCAGCAAGAAAAGGATACAAAACGTATGTAGCAAAATAAGCCACTAATACTTGGACATAAAAGGTGTCCTTGTATTTTGATAGGACTTTTCCTAAGGCCTTTGCATCATCCATGTCTCTGGGAACTTTTATACATTCTCTTTCTTCTCTAAAGAAAAACAGAAATCCAGGAATTAAGATGAATAATCAAGAAATGAAATAACAAAGCCTATTTGCTCCAACACAAAGCAATACTAAATCAATGAACTCCTCTTAGCAAAACAATGTAACTGCTGTTGAGAAAACTTCCCAGATACAGGAGGCATCGATAATGCTTTAGAGCTACAAAACATGTGTTGGCAATCCTATTTAACATCCAGAAGGCAGGCAGAAGTGCCACAATCAATAGAAACCATAACTGTTCAGACAAAATTTTATGACAGAAGAACTGTAGATAATATTGGGATGGGGGGATGAAGCAGAGGCGGAAGGAGGTAGAGCATGGTGTATTATATTCTAAATGCAATTTGGGAGGGGGCGAGGGGTTTCCTTATGAACATTGACTTTTTGCCTTATTGTCTGTTTGGTTTGTTTGTGGGTTGTTGTGTTTTGTTTTGTTGGGTTTTTTTGGTTTTTTTTTGGGGGGGGGCAGTAGACCCAGTGTAAAGTACAATTTTTATACCAGTAAATCTATTTTAATTAGCTGTGCAGTTTTTACTGTTGGCACTGGAGTGATACAAAGTCATCCCAACCTTCTTGTGGACAGTTATAGATTATTTCTGTCTGATAAAAGGGTAACACATCCATATAAAATGACCTGTATAGTGATAACTGCACACACACCGGGTCTGTACTGCTTTAACTAGAGTAGTACAACTGGCACTGACTGGTAGCTTCTGCCACTACTTCCAACATATGAAGTTTGGTATTTTGACATTCTAGGTCAGGCTTGTCCAACATATGGCCCACAGGCCGCCATGCGGCCTGCCAAGCCATTTTCTGAGGCCCAGGGTCCCTCGCTTGGGACAGGTGGGTGGGGGAGGGGAGCTGCTCATCAGGTGAGCCAGGTCCGACCACCGCCGCCCCAAGGGCTGCGTGGCGCGGGGCTGCCCCAGCCGCACCTGACGGGACGAGCTGGGGACAGTGCCTTTTACTTCTCTCCGGCTCGGCCCCTTGCCCCCAGCATCCCACCTGCCTCCGGGGACCCGCCAGGCTTGGCAGCCGCAGAGCGGGAATGGGGTGTAGTGCCTGGCACAGGCAGTCGGCAGGGCAGCCCCGGGGGGAGGGGGCCTCAGCAGGCAGGGTCCTGGCGTGACCTCTGTGGGGCAAGGCGACGGGAGCCAGTGTCTGCCGGACCCCGCACTCTGGGCTCGCAGCGCTGAGGCCACCGGGGCTTCATGCACAGGCAGCCGGGCACCACGGTATGCGGGGCCGTGCGGGTGGGCGGGTGAGGGGCTGCGGTGCAGCAGCTGCCTCACTCCGGCCCCCTCAGGCAGCACTGGCTCGTGGGGCTGTGCTGCTCGGGGGATGGGGATGTGGAGCTATTTATTTCTCCCCTTCAGTCTCTGGGGCAGTAGCTGGCTGGATGCAGAATGGGTACCTCCTGTCTCTGCCCACCAGCAGCTACCACAAATTTTGCAGTAACAGGCAGGTGCAGTAGGGCTGCACAGGTAGGGTCTCTCTGGCACAGGACAGAGGGTGTTTGAATATGGCTCACTGGCCCACTGAGTGATAAAAAGTTCATGATCCAGCTCCACATTCAAAAAGGTTGGACACTCCTGTTCTAGGTCCTCTTTGATAAGTTCTCCCCCCCCCCTCCATTTTCAAATTTCTATCAGGTTATAAATAAGTACTGGATTTAATGTAAGACTTTTGGGGACCTCAGCAATTTAACTTGCATTGAAAAACCAATAAATTCATCATCCTTCTTTGTTTACTTACTCACTAAGTTGTGGAAAATTTTTATATACCAGAAACATAATAGAAGCAGCAGAGAGGAAGATAGACACTAATATAAGGAGGGACATTCGTGCTGATCCACCTTCCACGTGGGCTTTTCCTGAAATTAAACAAAATTAGAATTAACATAAATTAATGATAGCATTCAAAGTTATGATCCTAAGAGTTAAAGGTCAGTATTCTGGAGAGAAGGAATCTTCCTCACCAGCAGTTTAAAACAAACAAACAAAATACCCTGCAAGCCATCTCTTACATTCCCAGAAGCTCTATGCTAAGAAGTCTGCAATCCTTACTTGGGCAGGACTTCCACAAGTCTGTCTGACTAAGGACTACAGGAGCTCAATTAGTCCACCAATAAGCATATGCATTGATTTACACCCTTTTAAGCACAAGAATTCTTATAAAATAAAGGGCTTAGTCCATCTGTCTGTCTGTCCATAACGCTCTTGGAGCACTCTGATTGGTTAGTGAAACAGCCAAATCGGAGTGCAGAGCGCCATGCTGATGGGGTGAGGACGGAATAGGGGGGCAGGGCCAGCCCTGCTGACCACACCCCGACCCTGCTCCTTGGAGGTGGTGGAACGCCACCATGATGGTGGGGACAGAGGGGACAGAGTGGGGGGGCGAGGCCAGCAGTGCTGGCCTCACCCCTCTGCTCCATCCTCACCATTATGGCAGCATTCTGCCACCTCTGAGAAGCAGGGAGGGAGAGGCCAGCAGCACTGAAGGCAACGGCAGCACAGGGTGATGGTGGAGGGGATGGCAGGGCAAGCTTCCCCCTGCCCGACTCCTGGGAGGCAGTGGCAGCACGGGATGGTGGTTGGTGGCACTCCATCCCTGCTCCTCCCCCCCCCATTGACGGGCAGTTCATTAGTGTAATATAAAAACATGCACTGCTCTAGACTTATTTGCAAAAAATATCATGTCATGGGCTAAGCAATACTAATTACTGGACTAATACACATAGACAAATCCTCATGTCACCACATTCTCTAACCCTACTCAGAGAAAGCCCTGACCAGTGCCACATCCACTCTAAGAAGAGGTATTTTTAATAAGTTAACTGGTTACAGTAACCTCTAGGAGACTTTGTACACTTATTCATTTTATCAATTACATGATCTACACTAGGAATTCATTAGAGGTATACCTATATATTGGTGGCATATCAGATCGGCACTGATAACAGGAAATTTAACATTATTGGCAATTGGCTTTTTTGGCCAGTGTAGCCGATGTCATCGATAAATGCCATGTGCGTGCACGCAGCTGCAGCATGCACATAGCCAGGAATGCAGCCAGCGCCTTGGAGAGCAGTGTCCAGCCAGTAAGTCTATGAGGATGGACAGCAGGGGCAGACTGAGGTCCCCATAGTGAGGAAGGGAGAGGGGTAGGACAGGCGCTGCCGAGTTAGGGCAATGAATGCAACCCCACCAGGAGTGCGATGCCATGGGTGGCTCATCCAGGGTTTGGCTCCCCACTGCTGCATGCACCCCCAAGAGAAGCATGGGGGGCATGTGCCCCCTGGATTTGTGCACAGGGTGAGGGTGGGCTGCTCACTGCAGGCTTGAGACCAAGGGCTGCACTGGCCTCTTCCCAGTGTGGGGGCTGGGTCAGGGCTATGTTCAGGGAAGGCAGAGACATGGCAGGCAACAGTGGCAGCACTGGGAGGGGGGACTACATCAAATTCTGTGTTGGCTGTAGCCCACCCCATAGCTACCCCTCCCAGTGCCACTGCTGCCCACTCCAAGTGCAGCCCCAGCCCACACCCCCCACTAGGAAGAGGCTGACATAGCCCCTACCCCTGAGCCCGCAGCAGGCAGCCCACCCTTGCCCTGCCCAGTTGCATTCCTGTAAATCGACTATCAGATTGGTTTCGGCCAATATGCCTGGTTTATAATTGGCCATCAGTATCAACCATGAAAGTCTTTATCAGTGCACCCCTAGAATTCTAATATAATAAAAGCCTTAGTCTGTCTGTCTGTCTGTAACACTCTGGTCATGTGCTGCTGACAGTTGTGTGCGCCAATTGGCTATGAAGGCCTGAAGCATTATGGATGGAGGTAGCAAGGAAGCTGCCACAGCGCCCCCACCCTCCCCTCAAAAAAACAGCCGGCAGGGAGGGGGAGGTGGCAAGAAAGAGGGAAGGAAGGAAAGAAGGGAGGGGAGTAGGAAGGGGAAGTTGGGGTTTCTGGTGGTTGGTCCCCCTGCCACTGCCCGGCCCTGACAACAGTTGGCATAGAGGGGGAGGCAGAGGGAGGAGAGGGGAAAGGGAGGCAGGGAGTGGGGGCATGTTGCATGCTGCTGAGTGTCAGCAGACATGCAAGCTCCCCTCCCCCCTGTTCCTGGGAGCTGGCACTGGTGTGCCTGTAGCAGTAAGGAGCAGTAAGGAGCATGCACGGGGCCAGAGGTGGACTGGCAACACCTCGGAGTGCTGGGTGGCAGTGCTCCATCCTCACCTGTCTCCCCCACCCCCGGTCATTCATGATGGGCAATTTGCTAGTTCATTATATGTATAACATGGTAATCAATATGTATTTTAAAATAGTAAATAAGAGCATATTTTTCCTAATGAAAGACAAGATATAGGAAAAAGATATTTTTAGAAAGTGTTCAGTTAGGCCTCATCTACCAAGGAAAGTCTTTTCCCCCTGTTAATTTCCAAGTGAGAAGTTAAACTGATACACTTACAGAAAACTAAGAATACCTTGAATGAGATTTCTCTTCTTCTAATGAGTGACAGCTCTGATTTAGTTTGAAACCTTTCCTGAGCAACATAACCTAAACCAAAATCAACCAACCCAGAAGCCCACCACATGCAATCTTATACCAGAATATGAAAGTGTGCATCTCTGGAAAAGGGCTACATATGCCAGTACAACTAGGCAAACACTCCTTTGTAAGCAAAAGCCTTGGAAGACCTGAAACACCTCTTTGCACCCAGGTACATACCTACATTTCTTAAACTACCAATTAACTTTTACTTAACTTGTTTGTGAAGACTGGTCCAGGTACCTCAAGCATTTGTTCGAGGCAAGGGTCTATCGAACTCAAAGAGGTGGCCAGCTGATTTTCACAGGCTGATCCCAGGACCGGCTGCCATTTTCATGAGCTGAGTGACACATTCCCCGCCACCAACCTCTGACTGGCCGGAGTCTCCTGCAGTCCTCCCCACCCCCAAGATTGCCACATGCCCAAAACCACAGCTTAATTACCCTGATTAAGCCTGGGGGAAGCCATTAATCCATGTGCTATTAAGCATGGATTAATGGCTTCCCTGGGCTTAATCAGGATAACTAAGCCATCGTTTCAGGCCCTCCTCCCCTTTCTTCCCTGCCAGGTGGTGATGACCTCTTGCCCTCTGCTGGGTTTTATTCAACTATGTGCTGCAGGTTCACCATAGTGAACTACTC